TTGCTTACCTCTTGACTTTGCTTGTACTGTGATCACTATATATATATACCTGCATGTTTACTCTTGCTAGGTTGTGATCACTGTATCTCTTGCTCTGTTATAAACCTGCATGTGAACTGGTCTTGTGACCACTAGCTTGTGCTCGGAATTTGTGTGGAATCCTCGAGATCCACCCTGAGCTTGCTTTGCCTTGCTTTGCCCTGACTGGTCGTGTGACCCCCAGGTCTCCCCACTTCGCCTATGGGGGTGTGTCAAACATTATATGTTTATATGGTTGTAGGCTGTAGTGGGTTACGCCTTAGGGGGTACACTGGATTAGGGTTTCCTATTTGTATCCAGCCTTCTGTTAGTCCAGCGATTCCAGTCTGTTATTTTGACACACACCCCCTGCTGCAACCCCTAACTCCACTCCCACGTCACCCCCCTAGCACCACTCCTTCGGCTCCCCACACACCCACCCCCCTCAGCGGCAGCTGCAGCAGTGGGAGACGGAGGAGGAGGAGGAGCTGGGGACGGCGCACACTCTTGCACCCCCATAACCGCCACCCCCACACTCGCCACCCCCAAACCCTAAAACGGGTGGCACGGGGCAGGAGCGCGGGGGACGGCGCGGGGGACGGCGCGCGGCCCTGGGGCAGGCTGCCCGGGCCGCGCGCGGGCCTGGCGCAGGCCGTACGGGCCGCGCGCGGGCCTGGCGCAGCCCGTACGGGCCGCGCGCGGGCCTGGCGCAGGTCGCGCGGGCCGCGTCGGGCGACGGGGGGCGACGCGCGGGTCCGCGGGCTCCGTGACGGGCGACGGGGGGCGCTTCGACGGGCGACGGGGGGCGCTTCGACGGGCGACGGGGCGGTCGACGGGAGGGGGGGAAGCGCGGGTCCCCGGGGTGACGCACGAGGGAGGAAACCGCCGCGCGCCTCGGGGCCACGGCGGGCAGAAAACCGGGCGCGCGGCGGGAAGAAAAAACGAACATCGCGCGCCACGGGACGCGCGACACACAGGAAGGCAGCGGAAGCAGGCGGGCCCACAGGCCAGGAGCGTAACCGCTCTGATAGCATGTCAAGATAGTAAGGACAGTGAGAAGCCATAGCTAGGGTTGACCTAGCTAGGCAAGTAAGAAATGAACAAAGGAGGGGTTGCACTAGCAAGAATGGGGATACAAATAGCAAACCCTAGAAGGGTTGTACTCGCTATAGAGCACCCCACTACAGGCTAGAGCATAATATTCTGACAAACCTCCCCTTAGGTCTATTTTCGAAAAAACCCGTGCTGTTCGCAGTTGGTCGATCAGTTCGTCGGCGCGGGGGATGGGATATCGCGACTTAACTGTAACCCTGTTGAGCGCTCAATAATCGATGCACATGCGAAACCCTCCGTCTTTTTTCGGTGTGAACAGTATCGGTGCGGCGAACGGTGACGAACTCGGTCGGATAAACTGCTTCTCTAACAGGTAATCTAACTGCTTCCTCAGTTCGTCGAGCTCCGGTTGTGTCAGTCTGAACTGGCGCTGTACGGTTGGCTGTGCCCCCGGCTCTAGTTCTATCCTATGATCGTGCGCCCGCTGAGGTGGCAGTCCCGCTGGTAAGTCGTCGGGGAATATCCCCGGGTACCGTTTCAACAGCTCCTGTAGTTCGGGCGGTACCACTGCCAACAGCTTCTGAAAATCGCTCGGTTGCTCGGCTTCTCCCACTACTGCGATGTCCACTGCGTACACGTCAGCTCCAGCGGCGACTGCCCGTTTCATGGTGATGGCGTTGACGTGGACCGTTGAAGACTCAGGCGACTGCCAGCGTGGTAGTTCGACCCAGTTACCACTACTTCGCACAGTGCAGCTGCCTGTCGTCCAGTCGATTCGCGGGTTATACCGTCGCAGCCAATCACGTCCCAGTAAAATATCGTGCCCATCCAGTGTCGTCGCGAGCATTTCCTGTGTAAACCCGAAGTTCCCCCCGCAGCGAACTTTTACCCTCTCCACCTTTTCCCGTATGGCCAGCGGCGTGCCGTCGACTAAGCGTGCGTCTATCTCAGGTAAGCACCGGCTGAGTGTCAGTTGCAGTTTCCGTGCGGTTGCAGTATTAACTAAGCTATGGCTTGCTCCTCCGTCGATAAAAATCTTCACTGCTGCTCCCTGTATTTTCCCGTAGATCAGTATTGGGCAATCCGTCGCTGTACCCTCCTTATTCATCCGAGCCCGATCGATGGCGTGAATCGGTACTGTGACTCGGTGAGGGTCGGTGCGGTTGGGCGAGCAGGCAGTCTCGTCAGTAGTTGGCCCAATTTCTACTGACTGCTGGCGTTTCCCTGTCTCTGAGACTCCCTCCCCTGCTCTGCTCCGCGGCGCCTCAGCTCCTCTGGACATTCACTCTTGCGATGGCCCGGCCTGTTGCAAGCAAAGCAGCGCCCCTTAAACGGCGCGGCAGCTGCATTCGTCGCAACGGCGTGTACGGTGGCGTGCTCGATCGATCCCCGAGGACGATGTCCGTAGTAGGACCCCGGTCTCGGTCGGCGCAAAATGTCGATTTTCTCGGCGAGCGCGAGAATCTCGTTGAAGTTCGAGAGCCCGCGTAGCATGATTTCCTGCGAGATTTCCGGCTTCAGCCCTCCGACGTAACGGTCCACCCGCTCCGCTTCGTGCATGTAGCCGACCTTCTCACATAACGCGAGAAAACCGCTCGTATAGTCTTGGACCGATCCGAGCTGCCGCCAAGTGCGCAGTTTCTGACGCGCCGAAATAGAAGCCGCGATCGGCTCGAAGCGCGCCCGAAGCCCTACGCACCACGCATCCCACGTGCTGTACTGGGCGGTTTCGCAGAACGAACTCCAGGTGACTGCTGGACCCGCGGGCCCTTCCTCTTGCGACGGTGGCTCGTAGGCGCGTGGCGACGTCACGATGACTCGCCACCAGTCCATAGCGGGGCCCCTCAGCAGCGAAACGGCGTATCGGATCTTCGCTGCGTCCGACTCGACGTAATTCGCGTCGAAGAAGACGTTCATCGTGAAGATCCACGATTGAACCGTCGGACCCCCACGCTGGCTCGGGTCGAAACAGGGCGGACGCTGCGGCTTGAGTGGCATTGGCGCCATGATTGCCTGATCGGCGCTTGTTGCCGCAAACTCCACGTGCCGACGGGCTTCGCGAGGCTCCTGAGAGCTTGGCGCGGCCCGGTTTCTCCCCATGCCAGGCATTGGTTGGGCGGCGCTATCACTGGCTGCTCCTGAGCGCTGTCCCACGCTGTCGTGCTGTGTTGGTGTGCCAGACGAAATGACGATTGGCTCCTCCGACGGTGCAGGTGCATTTTGAGGTGCTGGGTTGCTCGCCGTGGCTTGCTGACGCGCGGAGTCGCGTTCCGCCGTGAGCGTCGCGATTTCGAGCGCCGATTCTTCAACTTGGCGCACCAGGCGGTCGAGCTGCTCCTGCGTCAGAGTCGCGAGATTGAATTCGGCCATGGCGGGGGTGTCGGGCGAGCTCAGCGAGAGCCTCTGTCGTGGCCGTGCGTGCTTACGAGAGAGCACTACGAGCGGCGGTGCTGTGTCGCTGAGAGACGTCTACCCCCTCCAAAAATTGAGATAGTGGGGAAGCGAAGGTGTGGATGCGGTCCGAGAAGAGATCGTAGGCTCTGAATACCAAGTGTTACGAGTGCAATTGAGTGAGCGAACGAAGATTGCATGTTCGAAGCAAGGGTACAATGAGCGAAGGCATAAGCGAAAGATTATATAGCGAAACTACAGTGGTAACGGTAATGTGTGAAAATGGGGTGCGCGACGGGCCTAGCGCCGAGGTTGGGAATTGTCGAGGCGGAGGTCCGGAGCGCGGGTTACCAACCGAGCCGTGAGGTTGGGTCGCGTCGTGAACAGTGGCGGGAACAGTACCGAGGCGAGTGTCGCGAGTGGTAACGGATTACTGTTGGGTGCTGTTGGCGGGAACCGTGCTTTACGCGCCGAGCAGGGACGCGAAGTAAGGAAAAGGAATTTTCCTTACATTATCGAAAACGTGCATGTAACCCTTCGCGTTTGTAAACGTTCGTATACTAAACAAAATTGCGCATTCTGCGGATGTATACGTGGACCGCCAGTTTCCTTTTTGCTGAGTCAAATCTGACTTGTACGGTATACAGCCTGGTTGGAACGCGAAGTTACCAGCCAGGATTTCCGGATGCACTGTTCATTACCATTCAGGCAAAAATGGTGACCATCTAGGCATGCTGGTTACCATGTTGGCGAGGAGACGACATCTCTGTTACGATCTGGAAACGTGGCTTACTTCACGTGCGATCGAGCTCAATGAGTGTTACCGCGGAGGTAATTACCCTGAATTTTACGTTTCGTCTGCAGAGTGTTTTCTAAGACAAACATTTAGCTACCCCTTGATAACATTGAAACTTAGCTTCAGTGAAGAATATTCGCCTAACCAAGGAGTAGAGTTCTGAGTTCTGTGCTAAGTGAATGTAAGTTATAAAAAGCCCCAATGAAATAATGCAGCTCAGGCATGGAGGAGGTTGACCTCAGGAGCAACTTGCGCGGTTGGGAAATAGAAACGAAGCACCCACAGTTAATTCGTACAAGGTCGCAGGCCGCCGCTCTGCCCTGTGTGCGAGCTTTCAGTTGTCGCTGCGGTTTTCTATCGTTCGTTCGCAGACCGTACGGTGCTCGCCCTCCTCTCGAGAATACAGGCAGCAGGCCGAACCGAGCCACCAACGAGAACCATCACCATCCCTCTCTACCCTATTTCACCCACCCGAGCCCATCTGGTTTTGGCGCCAAATATACCAGCCACCCAACCACCCACAACAGATATCGAGGTAGGTGGGTTGAAACATTTTGCGCTTTAGTCGGCTGAGACTATTCCGAAGGCAAGTAGCGAGTAGTCCTCCTTATTGGGACAGCATAGCGAGCATGGATGCTTCATTACGCGGCACAAGCAAGAAACTCTACCATTATTTTCCTTTTATTTAACCGGCTACCAGTTTAACACATGAGACCCTGAAACTACTGAGTCGGAAGCTGAAATGGAGCCCGAAAAATCAAGCGACGGATACGGCGAAACAGATAATGCGTTGACCACTGCCTTACCGTCGGAAATAGCTAGGATTGGAACCAAAAGCGATGGCATTGGAGGGCGAGAGGAGCAGGAATGGGACAGCTCTAACGGTTTTCCGGCTCGCGACGATTTCGGCGCGACTGGCGCAGCCGGAGCGCCGGGACGGGCAAGTTCCAATGAAAATGACTTAAGCCAGGTGAGGAAATGTAATGAAACAGAGAGACAGGAAATATACGTCGTACAAGCGATGGATGAATGCTTACAGAGGGTTATAACACGAGGAGATTTTCGCTCCCGAAAGTTTTGTTTATATTTCTTTCTTTTTTTTCATGAAAGGAACACGGCTTTAGGCCCATATAAAATACATGCTATTTTGTGACGGCCTGTGCTGTCGCGTATAACCTGCCATGTATATCTGTCCGCGTTACATCTGCTTACTACACTAGCATCAAATACCTGAAACAGCTTGCTGTATCGCTTGCCACACGCTTCTCGTGCCAATGCCCCTTAATATTCTCCCTCTCCATGCATGCTATATTCTCCCTAGTTTATCATCAACGCCTTGCGTTTCACCAATTCATGCACTTCCGCTCCCCTCTTACGCCCTATCCCCTCCCTCTCCTGTTCCGCCCCTACCGCGTCCGCCAATCCAACTAACACCCCCTAACCCTTTCTTCTTCCCCCCCCCCCCCCCCCGCCCCCCTCAACACCCCTGCGTCTCCTCCTGCCCCGCGTCCCCCTCCCGCAGCCGCGCGAGGCCCCGTTCCCCCTGCGCCAGCGCCACCGCCTGCAGCTGCACGTGGCCATACCCGGCAGTCCCGAGGGGCACGATGGGGGAGCGCAAGGCGGAAGCCACAGGGCGGGGGGGGCGGGTTCCGGGGCCGGCGCTAGCGCAGCGAATGCGCGCATAGGCGCGGGCACGGGCATGGGGATGGGGGGAGGCATGGGTACGGGTGGCGCAGGGATAGAGTTAGACACCGGAGGCCTCCCATGGAGCATGGGGGATGGGATGGGGGCATCATTCTTGTCGTATTCAGGGGCAGGGGCAGGGGTGGGAGCAGGGGCAGGAGCGGCAGCAGGGGGTGAGCTGAGTCCCCCCAGCAGGGCGGTGGATGCGCTCATTGGGAGCTCCGTGGAGTCGTTCCTCTTTGATGTACGCCCGCCTCCGCCCTGCTGCTGTGCTGCTGCACCGTGCTGTGCAATGCTGCTGCGTTCCGTGTACCCCATTGCATGGCATGGCAATCATGATGCGAGATAAGCCGTGTGTACCGTGAATTGCAACACACCGTGTGTCTTGTACTGCCCTGAAACGCTGTGAATGCTCTGAGTTGCTGTCAGTTGTCGTGAAGCGTCATTCCACTCTCCCTCACCTCAATCTCCCAATTCTGTGTCCCACATCTGCGCACCCATCCACCCACCCACCCACCAAACCACGCACCCAACCACGCATCCTCCCCAACAGGACATGGACAGCTTCTTTGGAGCATCGCTAAGCAGCATTGTCACCTCCCCTACTGCCACCTCCCCTACTGTCACATCCCCTCCCGCCTCCTCCGCTCCTGACATCCTCACCATCGATCAGCCCTCCTCCCCTTCCTCCTCTCTCTCCTCCCCCACACTCCCCTCCTCCCCCTCTGCTGCTGCGACCAGCCCTGGATCGACCACTCATGAGTTGTCCCAGTTACCCTCTCATCCCTCCTCCCAACCTCCTTCATATCCGCCTGTTTCGGCGGCGTCCTCTGCAGCTGCTGAGTCAGATGGTCTAGCTGGTGAGTCAGGTGGCGCAGATGCACGGGCTTTGGCTGATTATAGGGGACACGTGGAGGAAGAGGGAGCAGCACCAGCAGGAGCAGCAGCAGCGGGGGAAGGGGAAGCGGCAGGAGCAGGAGGAGCAGGAAGAAAGAGCGACGCAGCACGAACCAGCACAGGAGGCAGTGAGGGAAGGCGGCAGGGGGCAGAAGCAGGAAAGAGCACGCCTCTAGGGGGCTTGTCCCTCCCCAACAGCATTCACAGCAGCGTATCCTCCGGCAAACCAGAGGTGCTGAACCGTCTGGGAGTGGGCCTGGAGGTGTTCCCTTCTGACCTCCGGAGCCCTTCTGATGCGCATGCTCGCAGTCCCTTTGGCCTGCGCAGCCCTGCTGCTGCTGCTGCATCTGACCCTGCTCTGCCCTCCTCTCCTTCTCGCATGCGCCGCCGCAGCAGGCATGGGGTTCCTGGGCCAGGTGCTGCTGCTGCTGCTGCTGCTGCGGGTGGAGTGGCTGGTGCGGGTGGGTCGGGACTGAGTGCCAGAGTGAGCAGCAGCAGCAGCAGCGGCGGCAGTGGCGGCAGCAGCACTAGTGCCATAGCTGCTTCGGTCCCGCTGCCTGCGCCTCCGCCTCCTCCCAGTTCCTCTTTTACATCTGCGTCCGTGGGAGTTGAGGGCACAGACCGTAGCAGCAATAAAGAGAGCACGACGAGTAGCAGCAGCAGCAGCAGCAGCAGCAGAAGCAGCAGTGGCGGGGGCGGCAGTGGGGACAGTCAGAGCACGGGCGGCAGTGTGAGCCCCCGGGCGGCAGCTGACGTGGAACTCAACTCGCCCAGCTTTTCCTCCTGGAACCTCTCCACTCTCCCCCTCCCTGCCGCCCCTCCTCTCTCCTCCCTTCCCCTGCCCGCCGTCCCACTCGCTGGCTCCTCTCCCCTGCCTCCCTCTGTGCATGCACCTGCTTCATCTGCTTCTGCTGCTGCCGCTCCTGCTGATGCTGATGCTAGCAGAAGTGCGGAAGGCAGCAGTGGGGACAGCGCTGGTCAAGCGAACAGCAGCGAGGCGATGCCTGGCCGGGCAGCACAGGCAGAGCCAAGGGCAGATGGTTGGGAAGAGGGGCGCGGGGCGCAGGGGCCACGCGGGGGGCAGTTGCAGGGGCAGGGATTGGGAGATGCGCAGGGGCAGGGGCAGGGGCAGGGGCAGGGGCAGGGGCAGGGGCAGGGGCAGGGGCAGGGGCAGGGGCAGGGGCAGGGGCAGGGAGAGGGGGAGGGAGGAGGCATGGACATAGAAGCGTTAGCAGCAGTGCAGGTGCAGAGGCAGGCAGCGGCACAGGCAGAGGCGGAGGCAGAGGCAGCAGCGGCACTGCGTGTGCATGGCATGGGTGCGTTTGGAGGTCCCATATATCCCTACTCTCCCAGAATCAACATCAGCGGCGGAAGCAGCAGTGGGGGGGACAGTGGGGACAGTGCTGGTGGCAGCGGCGGCAGCAGCGGTGGCGGCAGTTCCAGCAGCAGTGGCATCGGCAGTGGTGATGGTGGTGGTGATTTCCCTGATGCATCAGCCACCCAGCTCACCCTTCCATCCTTCACCAGTAGCGACCTCCCTTGGAGAAGAGAGAAAACCCCTCCCCCGTTCACTCAACCCCCGGGGTTTGCAGCAGCAGCAGCAGCAACAGGAGAGCCTAGAGGAGAAGAGCGAGTAGCAGTAACAGCAGAGGGAGGAGAAAGGGTGGAGGCATTGAATGGGCTACCTTCCCCTCCTTCGTCTCCCGAGGTTCCTCTCTTTACACTTGAACCAGCCACCCTTATATCGTTCTCACAAATGAGGGGAGCGGATAGGGAGGGTGGGGCGCAGGAAGAGGCCGGGAAAGCGGGAGAGGATGCAGGGAAGGAAGGGGGGTTAGGTAACAGCAGGCATAGTGCAGGTAACCAGAGCAGTGACAGCCAGCTTTCTAACAGCCACAGCAGCAGCAGCAGCAGCAGCAGCAAGAGCAGCAGCAGCAGCACCAACGACACATACCACCACCAGCACAAACCATCCACATCCTCTCGTGCTGGACACTTGGACGCCTCTTTCCCTCCAGCTGCCCGTCAGAACGCCACCCGCTCCGCGTCACACTCTGAAATACCACTGGCCCGCTCTGAGTATCCTGAGTACAGTGGTGGCATTGACGAGCCCACTTCTCGTTCCTTCCCCTCCATCCGCGCACTTAATCAAGCTGCCTCCTCTGCTGCCCCTCCCGCTGCCCCTGCTGCTTCTTCTTCTGCTCCCTCCGCTTCTGCTGCCCCTCCCGCTGCCTCTGCTGCTTCTGCTTCTGCTCCCTCCGCTTCTGCTGCCTCTGCTTCTGCCTCTGCTTCTGCTTCTGCCGCTGCTGCTGCTGCTGCTGCTGTTTCCTCTCCTCCTCCGCGCCCTTCAAGAGTGCTTCATAAGTCAGGCCGGAACAGTCTCTCTCTGCCCGACTCGGTCCTCTCTCTTGCAGCAGATACTGTCTTGGCGGAGTATAGAGCAAGTCGGGCAGTGGCAGGGGGGGTTCAGAGTGAGAGTGAGAGGGAAAGAGGGAGGGTCACGACCCTATCCGCGTCTCCTCTCTCGCACACCTCTCCTATCCCGCCTCCAAAGGATCTCAGACTGCTGGTGGTTGCAACAACCTCCGCTCAAGCCGCCTCAGCATCAGCATCAGCATCATCACCAACAGCAGCAGCAGGCGCAGCAGGAACCTTTCCAGAAGAACCCGCCGAGCGCTCCCCGCGTTGGAGCTCAATGGATGCCCCAGCCTCGCCTCGCCTCTCCTCCTTCCTCTCCCCCCGTCGCACCTTCCGCAACGAGATGCGGCGGCAGCGGTGGGGGAGAGACGGGAGGGATGGGAGGGAGGGGAGTGGGAGCCCTAGCTCCTCCCCTGGTGTGTCCCCTCGGGGGTTCAGAGAGGGAGGAGGGTTCAGGGGCGGGTTTAGGTCTTTGTCGGTTGGTGGGGAGGTGGGGACCGTGGGGTGGCGGTATGCTGCTGGGAGTAGTGGGCTTAGGCAGGTGGAAGGAGGGAGGCAGGTGGCAGAGGAAGGGGAATGGAGGGCGGAGGAAGGGGAAGGGAGGGCGGAGGAAGGGGAAAGAACAGGGGAAGAGAGGACAAGGAAGGGGGAGGAGGGAGGAAAGGTAGAAGCGAACTCTTCTGCTGCTCCCCCCTCTGCTGATCCTTCCCCTGCTGATCCCCCTCCTGCCCTCCCACCCTCTGCTGTGGTACCAGCCTCGCCCCCACTGCACTCCATGGTACCGCTGCTGCACTCCCTTCTGGCGCAACTAGACTCGACAGGCCTGGCTGGGGGGAAGGGGAAAGAGGCGGAAGGGCAGCAGGGAGGAGAGAATGAGGGCGTGATGAGGGGTGGAGTGCGGTGGGAAGGAGCAGGGGGGCGGGATAGGGAGGGGGAGGAGGGTGAATTGGGTCAAAGGGTTGGGAAGAGGGAAGCGGCTAGGGAACTTGAGAAAGCTCTCAGAACTTTCCTAGGCACGATTGGGGAGAGTGGTGGAGTGGGGGGGGTGGCGGTGGCAGGGGGGGGTGTTCTGGGGAGAGGAGGAAAGGAAGGGGGGGAAAGGGAGGGTGGTGAGGAGGCAAGGGTGCATGGGAGGGAGGGGAGTGCAGGGGAGTGTAGGGCTCCGGTTGACGACGGGTCAGGTGAAATGTCAGGTGAGAGGGCAGGTGAAACGTCAGGTGAGGCGGTGGTGGGGGAGAGAGGCGTGGGTGTGGGAGGAGAAGGGGTGGGTGGTGGGGAGGAGGAGCGGGGGAAGCTGCGTGAGAGTGCCGTTGGGGAGGAAGGGGAGACCGGTGGGGACGAAGAGAGAAGGGGGCAGCAGGGAGAGAGGAGAGAGGAGGAGGGGCATCAGGTTGTGACCCTGGACAGCAATCCGGGAAGCAGTGCACGCAGCAGCTTGGGAAGCAGTTCGAGAAACATCATCGACAAGAGCGTGGATAGCAGTCAGGATCGCAGCCTGGGCAGCAGTATAAACAGCACTGTTGCTTGTGGCCGGGACTCCAGTGCTTCTTCTGGTGATGGTGCTGTTGGCGGTTGCAGCAGGGCAGGCGAGGGTACAGGCGAGCTAGGGAGTGGTGGGTTACCGCTGGTGAAGGGAGGAGAGTCGATTGTGGGAGATGTGGGAGGAGGTAGGCTGGGGGCGGAGGGGAAGGGGAGAGATGATGGGTTGGGGAGAGAGGAGGGGACAGGAAAGGAGATGGAGGAGAGTCGAGAACAGGAAAGTGGAAAAGAAACACAGAGGGAGGGGGAGGAGCAGAATGCGAGTGTGGAAAAGGAGGAAAGGGAGGAAAAGGAGCAGAGAGAGGGCGATTTGTCGTCAGAGGAGGAGTTTTATGAGGCAGAGGAAGGAGGGGATGGCATGAGCGATGGCATGAGTCTAGGCCTGGGGGAGGAGGAAAACGCTGTGGTTGACGCTTTCCTCAACTACCGGGATGACGATGAGGGGACAGCGGGGGCAGAGGCGGCAGAAGTGGGAGAGGGTGTAAAGGACGTGGAGGGGGCGGAGGGGCGAGTGGGTTCGGAGGGGGGAGAGGGTGGGAAAGGGGCAGAGGGGGAAAAGGGATCTATTTATGAGGCGTCCCATAAAGAGGGGCGGGCAGGAGGGGGGCACGAGACAAGGGGAGCAGTGGTGGGCGTTTCTGTGGATGAGGGGGAGAAGGTGGAGGAGGGGAAGAAGCAGGGAGGAGGGGAGGAAGGAAGGGAGGACGAGAGGAGGGGAGCAGTGGAGAAGGAAGAGGAGGGGGAGAGAGAGGAAGAAAAGGGAGAGAAGGTGGTGAAGAGTGGTTTGAATGGAAGAGAGAGCCAGGAGGAGGGGGAGATGGGAGATGGAGGGGAGAAGGGGGTGGAGAAAAGGGAGAGTGTGATAGAGTCTAGGATAGATGGGGTTGATGGCAACAGAGAAGCAGTACCAACTGGGTCTTACAAGGGAGTAGAAGTGGAGGGAGAGGGAGAGGAGGCAGAGGCAGGAGGAGCGACACACAGAGAGGCCGAGGGTGCATTGGGGTTGGGATCAGGAGAAAGGAGGGGAGAGGAAAGGGGAGAAGGTATGGGTGAGGGGAAGGGAGAGGAGGAGGAGGGGAAGGTGGAGGGGAAGGAAGAGGTGAAGGAAGAGGGGAAAGCTGGCACAAATGCTGAGGGAGGGGAGCGGGGAATTCAAGAAGAGAAACACAGCAGTGAAGTGCAGATCGGAGCGGGGGGGTTAACAAGAGCAACGTGGGATGAGAGAACGGACGGTACAGGGTTAAACAGCGCAGCAGCGGCAGCGGCGGTGTCCATGGGGGCGGTGGTGGCGGCGCAGGCAGACGGACAAAAGGTATTGCTATCACCAATTTCAACACCAGAGGAAGCAGCAGCAGCAGCAGCAGCAGCAGCAGCAGCAGCAGCAGCAGCAGCACCAGAAGCAGCAGCAGCAGCAGCAGCAGCAGAAGCACCTGCAGATGCGGCAGCGGCAGCAGTGAAAGGAGAAGCTGACATCCTCACAGGAGGAGGAACACTTCATCAAGCATCACAGGCACCAGAAGAACCACTGGCAGCAGGAGCAGTGGCAGGAGACAGGCGGGATGTGGGTGCACCTGCGCTGGAATCACTAACAACCGAACCTACGGGTCCAGCTTCTCCTGGTGATGATGCGTCGCATATGGCCCCAGCTGCCTCTTCCCTTGACGCTGCGTCTGCCCTTGCCTCTTCCTCCCCATCTGCCTCCACTGCGCCTGCACTTCCGGTCCCTGCTGCTGCTACACTTGCTACAGGCGCCACAACTGCTACAGCCGCCACAACTGCTACAGCCGCCACAACTGCTACAGCCGCCACAACTGCTACAGCCGCCACAACTGCTACAGCCGCCACAACTGCTACAGCCGCCACAACTGCTACAGCCGCCACAACTGCTACAGCCGCCACAACTGCTACAGCCGCCACAACTGCTACAGCCGCCACAACTGCTACAGCCGCCACAACTGCTACAGCCGCCACAACTGCTACAGCCGCCACAACTGCTACAGCCGCCACAACTGCTACAGCCGCCACAACTGCTACAGCCGCCACAACTGCTACAGCCGCCACAACTGCTACAGCCGCCACAACTGCTACAGCCGCCACAACTGCTACAGCCGCCACAACTGCTACAGCCGCCACAACTGCTACAGCCGCCACAACTGCTACAGCCGCCACAACTGCTACAGCCGCCACAACTGCTACAGCCGCCACAACTGCTACAGCCGCCACACTCAATGCACCTGCCACCGCCACGGCGTCGCCTACATCAGCAGCACCCACCCCGCCACCAGCCACACCAAATGCCACCACCACACCGCCTGCCACCACCACACCACCTGCCCCACGAGTACCTGGATCCATGCTCCTCCACACACCCTCCCAAAAGCTCACCCCCACCACCATCCTCCCCCGCCCCGCTCCCACTCCCACCAACACCCACACCACCACTCCTCCCAAGAGCCACTCCCCCACTGACCACCACTCCCCATCCTCCCTCTCCTCTCCTCTCCACTCCTCCCCCCCAGCTCACACCGGCCCAGTTTCCACCTCTCCCACATCATCGCACCACTCTCCACCATCCCACACATCTCCGCAATCCCACTCTTCATCTTCCACCACCAACAATCCCCATTCCCCTTCCCACAGCTCTTCCAGCAAGTGGGGTTCAGGGGGTTCCCTTCCCCGTCCCCTCCGCTCCTCCTCCCTCAAGGTTTCCTCCTCGCTCTCTCTCTCTGCTGCAGGCTCAAAACTCATTTCTCGTGTCCGGTCTGTTACTCGGTCGAGAAGCAGTGGGGGGAGTGCGGGTATGGGGGGGACTGGAGGAGGAGGGAGTGGGGATGGGGGGGGTGGTGCAGGGTCCGGGGAGGGTGGGAGTCCAGCAGGGGTGGGGAGGGATGGGGGGGTGGAGGAGAGGAGTGAGGAGGGGGGTATGGGAGATGGTCTGAGCGGTGAGGGGGGTGAAAAGGGATTGGATCAGGTGGAGAGCGGTGGTGGGGGACGTGCAGTAATAGCAGGTTTGCTTGATGGTGATGTGGCATCGAGGGCTGAAGAGGCGGTGGGAGAGGGGAGAGGTGGGGGGAAGACAGGGGGAGACGACAGGAATGATAAAGGAGGAAAAGGGCTGGAGAAAGGAGGTGAAGCAAAACAACTACCAATAAATCAGCAACAACTACAAGTTGGGGGAGAAACTAAGCATGCAGATGTGGACAACTCGACTTCTCCACTGCACACCATGGTAAGCGTATGTTCCACACACATCGTAGATGAATTTTCTAGAATTGTGCTAGATAAAGTGGTTAATAGGCTTCATTCACATGTCCTTGCCCAGTTTCTCACTTCAGAGCCTATAATTCGTACATAACACGTTGTTCCCCATCTGCGTCCTCCTATTCTCACCCTCAGGACTCTCTGGCTGCTGCCCGGCGTAGAGCTGGCTTCACCTGCTGTGTGAGGCCGCATGTGAAGGAGTGAGCGGGCAGCTTGCACACCATACCCACAGAATTTTCTAACCCGTAGCAAACTGCGCAGTGTGGAGTGTTTTTCAATCTGCCTATCCTAGATTGTGTTTTGTGTGTTGAAGGTCCAAGTAGCTAAACAAAGTATAACATTATTGTCAATATGAAAGCTTTTTCCTTGTGAGGATGACTACAGTTCTGCGGCGTTGTGAATTCCACGGCCCACCCCCTTCCCCTTTCTCTCCTGCTTCCAGTTGTTGCTGCTAGGTGAACCGTCCCGATGCACTGCATCCAGCGGCTTTTTAGACACTTCGTGCTGTGAACCAGCTTCCTGCGCGCATCGCGACCAGTCGCGGAAAGGCGCGGGCAACAAATGCACTATACAATACCCTTTATAAACACACCACCCTATACGGGACGTCCCCGTGGTATGTGGGTCCTATTCTTTTGTGTAAGGTTCGTTCCTTGCCGCTTCTGTGAAGGTTTGTTTTGGGTGCTCACCGCTTTAGAACTTCCCGCACCATACTAAACCTTACGTAAACGTCCCGCTTCTGGTTCGCATTCGCCTCGACCCTGGGTCGGTGGGAAGGCGAGTCCGCTCAACGTAGGTTGAGGCGATGTGAATGCAGGCATTTTCTTTTGTCGATGAATGACAAGTCTCTTCAGCAAGCAGCCAGCAAGCATCAAGCAGCAACGACTGGCGTTCTACCGTACAGAGAAGCCCACTGGCTCATTGCCTCCCGCCTCGCTTGAAAATCCTCGTCTCCTGCGCAGCCTGCGTTGGATTAGGACATATTTCCGTGGACAACTGACGGACACACGCACGTCTTAGTCATCGCAGCTCCTGCATTTCCGAAGCTGTATATTTCTTCATGTTTTCCGTGCCTCAAGCTGTCAGCAGCGTACCAAATCCGGACCTCAGGGAACCCCTGCTGCAAGGTGCCGCCCCGGCAACGACGCCGGCAGATGCGGACGAATCAGTAAACGGCGAAGTGAAGTTATCCGTCAACGATTCGTCGACAGGACTTGAACCGACATTGTCACCGTCACCTTCATCTTTCTCGGACGGTCACCTCCGTCGCGATCCGGAACAGCCTACTTATTCCAAGTTCCTCGTCAGCGGTTTGACCATCCAATCACCGAAAGGCGACGGATCTCCGCCGCTTCTGTCAGACGTGAGCCTCGAAGTTCCACGTGGCGAAATCACCGTGCTTGTCGGGCCTAGCGGCAGCGGCAAGACCACTCTCTTACGCACTCTTAATCGCCTTACCGAGCCGCCTCGGAACTCCGTGTTCCTCGATGGCACCGACATAACTTCCTCGAAGCTTCCTGTAATCACCCTCCGGCGCCGCGTTGGCATGCTCTTCCAGACCCCGAGCCTCTTCGACGGAACCGTCGCCGACAACATCAGGTTCGGGCCGAACCTCGAGGGTCGGCAGCTTCCAGACGAGAAGATCCACGAGTTACTCAATCTCTCCGGGCTCGAGCCGTCGTTCGCGGAGCGGGATTCGCGGAGCCTATCCGGGGGACAGGCGCAGCGCGTGGCGCTCGCGCGCGCTCTTGCGAACGACCCCGAGGTGCTGCTATTGGACGAGCCGACGAGCGCGTTAGACCCCGCGGCGACTCTTAAAGTGGAGCAAGCCGTTCAGACGCTGTGCCGTGAGCGAGGCCTGACGGCGGTTTGGGTCAGCCACAGCGCGGAGCAGGTACGTACGTGCGTGCGCGGTGGTGACGAGCATGAACGAGATGACGTATGAGGCGTCTTTTTTGAGGCGTCCCAAAAGGGGCCTGACGGTCGTGTGGGCAAGCCACAGCGCGGAACAGGTAAGCGCGTGCGCGGTGGTGATGAGCAGGGAAGGGGGAGCATCAGGGAAGGGAATTCAGGGAGGGGAATTCAGGGGAAGGCGACAGGGGATAACGGGGTTTTGAACTAACGACTGGAATTTCTATTTTCTTTATCATCCAAGCGAACGTGCAGGAATGAAATTTGGAACTGATGACTATAAGTTTGCAGCGGCAGTGGGACAGTGGCATGAGTGTGTGTGTATGCACGCGCCGGTGCGCCCGCGCACAACATTCGTCCCTATCTTCGTCACTACCCTCGTGTCTACACCATCTCGCTTCGTCTCTCTAAACTCTATTGCTTTGATCATCATCCCCATCTTCGTCTCTTCGCACTGCCACATCTCCTCCCACCCTTTCCGCCCACCCTCTCCCCCCGCCCTCTCCGCCCACCCCTCCGCCCACCCTCTCCGCGCGCCCCGTGCGCGGGGTAGGTGCTGCGCGTGTCGCACTCGCTCGTGCTGCTGCACAACGGCGCGGTCGCCGACGCGCTGCCCACGGCGCTGCTGCGCTCCCCGGACCCAGCTGTGCGCGCCGCGCACCACCTCGTGCACGAGTTCCTAGGGGGCTTGCTGCAGGGCAGCGCGGACAGGGAGTAGCACGAGAGACTGACAGCAACAGGCCTACCAGTCAGGCAGTCAGGCCAGGCAGTAACAGAACCCAGCAAGTTCCCTTCCCACTACGGCGTGCCCTGCACCTAGTGCACATGGCGTTTTTCTCCTCCCTCATCGCCTCCTCCTCTGCGTTTCTCCTCCACGCGGCTGTCTCATGGTGGGAGGATGACGTGGCAGCGTTCCTCACAGGGATTGGCCGCACGCTAGCAGCAACAGCCTTAGTAGCAGCAGCCGTGGTTCTATCCCACATCAACTCCCTTGGCCTTGAAATGGACATGCTCCTCTCCTCCCTCAGGGCCTTCCTCCAGCTCTGCGTCATCGGCTTTGTACTCAATTTTGTCTTCTCCGTTACCGGGATAGTCTCGGTGCCTCTCATCTTCCTCACCTTCTGCTTCATGGTTACCGTCGCGGGGGTTACCGCAGCCTCCCGTGCCTCTCTCCCGGCTCTGCGCCTCGTCACCTGTGCGTCGATCTTCATCTCCTGCTCCGTCTCCCTTGTCGCGCTGCTGCTCCTTCGCATTTTCCCAGCCACTCCGCGCTTCCTCATTCCGGTAGCGGGGATGCTTGTCGGCAATGCAATGACGGCCACAGGGGTGGCACTGCGTAGATTGCGAGAAGATCTGAAGTCAAGCGCAGCACAGGTGGAGGCGGCATTGGCATTGGGAGCAAATCCTATGCAGGCCGCAGCAACACTCAGGAGAAGAGCGCTAGTGGTTGCTCTAGCCCCTCTCCTTGACTCAACCAAGACTGTGGGTTTGATTTCACTGCCGGGAGCAATGACTGGGCTGATTATGGGTGGCGCATCCCCCTTTGAAGCCACGCACTTGCAGATTATAGTCATGTATATGCTTATGGCGGCGGCTACTGGGAGCAGTGTGCTGGCGGTTTCGTTTGCGTGGGGACACTTTTTCACACCAGCGTTTCAGCTCAGAATGACATCTTTGTCGTGATCAGGGGTGTTATGCAAGGCTGTGGTCTTATGCAACAGCGTTTTGTGGTGCTGCCCTTTCTACTGTTATCACTGTGCGACATCCGGAATGGTGGACAATGTGGACATCCGGAAGCATGACATGAGGTAATATTCTAGTATGCACTTGTATGTTTTGTGCCGGGACCGGGAGCATTACATTAGCACATGCAGCTCCTAAGCGAGCAAACAAACCCTGTAACCTCCCAGACGCTCTTGTGTGATTGAGTTTACAACACGTGTATGCAGACTTGGAGCCAGCTTGTTCAACGTGGTGTTAAGCTTGTTGTACGGTAATTACTTTTTGAAATTTCATCTCTTCATTACTGCTGTAATTACGGTATTATGCTAGCCTACCTGTCTCCATGGCTCTCCCCACACATACAATAAGGGCTTGTAACCTTTTCCAATCTTGACCGTTTGGACTTTTTGCGGTAACCGGTTCTAAGATCGTCGACGAATCATAGGCATGTAGATATCTAGAGAAAAAGGTTACCATACAAAGTTCCGGGCGGTGAACCATCCGGACAGGACTGTCAGAACAGAAACGAATGAAGTTACATGCCATAAGATTATGGAATGGTAAAGAAATCAGATTGCCGATTTATTTGGTTTATTGTGTAGGGGAGTATGGTATGTTGAATTGACCCTGCTGTGATTTTAACAAGCGACGCTAGCACTCGCTGGCTTCACAAGTCCTTTTTATCGAGTCGCTGAGCTAGGGCGCTCAGCCAATCCAGGTCCGTGCGACTCGTATTTTTTGTCACGTTGACTGTCAGGCGTATGTCAGGTGACATGCGTGCCCGTTACTTGCCCTTCACTGAAAGCACACTCGGAACTAGAGCGAAGTCTCAGCACTGCAAGCGGAAAGCACAAGCACATTTCCGTTTATGGGGCGGGAGGCAGGAACAGTACGGAAGAATTCGGGTCGGGGGTATCGGGCCGGGGAGAAGCGGGGAAGGGGCAGCGGAGATTCCAAGGGACTTGTGCGCCTTTCCGCTGACGTGAGGAAGGGAAACAACAGCGCAAGGGAATCTCCGTTCTGTACCGTTTGGCTTGCGGTCGCCATCTCCGTGCGCTGCTGCTCCGCTTGCGCTGCCGCCTGTCCTGGCTTTTATCCCCCCATCCTCTCTCTCGCCTGCCTGGTGTAAAACGGTATTATATGGTTTAATCTGGTGCGCACGCAAGGGTCAAAAATCTGTTAGATGTTGAACCATTCTCAACCGCGAGAAAAACCGGCGAGATAGCTGCAAGCGGCACACACGCCCTCATGTGTTGCATGGCTCCACTTGTTGGGCAGACAGCGTCAACACTGGGATTGCTTGACCCACAAAAACGACCAACTATGTTCGGAGCCGATGTCTAGTTAGTAAGCGGTGGCAACTGGTTCAAGCATCACCCGCAATACTCTCTCGTATGGGCCACGTAGCCAGCAGATGGTTAGCAAGACCTAAGCTGGGAGCCTGGGACATTGTCTGTTAAGGAAAGAGGCCGCTTAGACCCATTAGCTAGGACATGGCTCCTTCGGATGCACACAACAGTCGACTGCTGTTCCGTTGCTGCCAACCAAGCGAGCTGCGTTTTTTAATTAGAATCTGAGCATCTCATTAAACAAAGGTAAGTTTCTCTTTGCCTGCTTAACTGGAATGTTGACCGAAGCTTTGATCATAAAGCGATGCTTTCACTATGTTGTCACAGCACGCACCCTGCGGTAGTCATCAATTCCCAACGCTCATTATGTGTCAATAAGCGTTATTGCATAGAGCATGATTCAGCGTCACTAGCGGGTTTCCTGGTAGGCATTCCTCAATTCCCCCCAATCCGCTCCTGACGCTTTATCCTGACTTTCCTGCTTTATCCTGCTTCCTCCCTCTCTTGTCCCTGCTCTTCAAGCCCAAAGGGCGATCATCACCTGCTTAATGCGTGTGATTGTCTCTTCCCATCACCCATCCCGCATCTTAGGTCAACGTCATCTCCTGTACAAGCACAGATAAGTCTCACTTCAAGAGCGCGTTGGTGGTAACCTAGAGCATCACCGATCGTAACGGCTACTTCTCCTGCCAACCCATCCTTCTGTCAACTACTTCTCTCCAGGCCACACACGAACCGCCGTTCATAAACTAGGTTACCCGCAGAATCATTGCAACAGCAGCAGTAGCAGCAGCTTTAGCGGGAAGAGGGCGCAACTATAGCGGGGATGGGTAGGGTGGATGCGTCGTTCGGCGGCACAACAGGGACCGGATACGGCGGAGACAGGCACGGAGACAGACCAGCTGAAGTGGAAGCTTCCTCCATTTACGGAGCTTCTTATGCAGAAGCAGTTGTGACGGATGCAGTAGGAGGGGGAGGAGGGGGAGGGGGAGTAGCAGGGTCCGCGGATTCTGTGTCGTCGTTCGGCTCAACGCCTCTCGCTTCCGCGCTCTCGCCCATGGGCGGAAACCCGGGCGCCACTCCGCTCCCCCGGCGGAGCACCGGGCGGGCGGGGGACGAGAGGGACGACGCGGAGAAGGGGAGAGATTGGGGGAAGGGGGAGTCCGATGGGGAAGGCGGAGGAGAGGCCCGACTCCCCGGATCCGCGGGCGCAGCGCAGGGCTGGTTCGCGCGGATGTCCTCAGGGGGTGGCGGAAGCGGAGTCGGCGGGGCTGTCAGCGGGCAGAAGCGCAACCCCGCGCTGTCAGTGGCGGCGATGGGTATTCGGCCGGGGACCCTTCTGCTGTGCTTTGTCGTGGGGCTGACCGCGGGGTTGCTGTGGCTAGACGGCGCGCATAAGGGCGTGTGGCCTCTGCTCTCCGACCTGCACCCGTTCCGCCAAGAAAAGGTTGCGCGTCCCGCGCTTTCCCCCGCCGGCTTCCGCCAGGAGCGGCTGGCGGAGGCGGTTGCGCGGAGGGAGGCGGAGGCGGAAACGGCCGGGGATCGCGTGCGAGGGACAATGCTGTTGGCCGGTGGGAGTGGCGACAGCAGCGGCAGCGGCAGCAGCAGCAGCGGTACCATTATAGGCAGTCACAAGGGCAGTGGTAGCAGCAGCACTTTGGGTCGACTTCCCTCCTCTCCGCTCTCGTCCTCCTCCTCCTTCCTCTCCGATTCCGCCTCCTCCCTCACCACCCTCCGCGTTCCGCCGGCCCCCGACAGCGCGCAGTGCTCCGCGTACCACCGCGTGGACGCGCGCACGGGGGAAGAAACCGGCGGCGGCGTGCGCCCGCTGCTGATCATCGTCACCCCAACCTACGTCCGGCCGTTCCAAGCCATGTACCTGCACCGCCTCGCGAACCTCCTCGCGCAAGTCCCGCCGCCCGTCCTCTGGCTGGTCGTGGAGATCTTCCCGCAATCCGCGGAGACGGCGGCGCTGCTGCGCGGGACGGGGCTGGTGTACCGGCACCTGGTGGCGCACAAGAACATGACGGATATTAAGGACCGCGGCGTGCACCAGCGCAACGCGGCGATGGAGCACGTGGAGAAGCACCGCCTGGACGGCATCATGTACTTCGCGGACGATGATAACATCTACTCGCTGGAGCTGTTTGAAGAGATGCGTGCCATCAAGTGAGTGGGAAGGGGGGGGAGGGGGGGGTGGTGGGGTTGGGGCTGTTGAGGCGCCTCAGAAGCACCGCCTGGACGGAATCATGTACTTTGCGGACGAGGATAATATCTACTCGCTGGAGCTCTTCGAGGAAATGCGCGCCATCAAGTGAGTGTGAAAGGGGGGGAGGGGGAGGATGGTTGGGTGTGCGAGCTGGTACTGCGTCTCTGTCTGGTTCCGTTTCTCATCTTCCGAAAGTGTTTCCCACTCTTCCGTTGACCTCCCCCCTCGTCCCCTCCCCTCCCCTCCCTTCCTTTCCCCTCCCCTCTCTCCGTCACTTGCCCCGCGCTTTTAGCCACACCCCGAGTCCTTCAAACATCCTCCCCTTGGCACCAACCGCAATATGTCTGCTTAAATGTTTTTTTGCGCCGTTACTCCAACATCCTCACCTCATCTCTTGCGTACACTCCCTCAATAAGCCTCCCTCTCACACTGCACCCCTCAACCGTTCCACACCATTCCTAACCTCATCGTTTCCACCATACCCCTCTCTCCCCCCCCCACCTCTCGCCCTGCAACGCCCCAGGCGCTTTGGCACATGGCCAGTGGCAATGCTGCAGCAGGGCAAGTCAAGGGCAACACTGGAGGGGCCAGTGTGCGAGGGCGGCAGGGTGATTGGCTGGCACACCAACGAGAAGAGTCGGCGAGTGAGGCGCTTCCACGTGGACATGTGTGGATTCGCGTTCAACTCCACCATTCTCTGGAACCCGTCGTTGTGGCGCCGCCCGACAGACCAGCCAATCAGACAGCTGGATTCTGTGAAGGAGGGATTCCAGGTGAGGTGTGATGGTTTGGTGTATGAGGGGGAGGTGGATGGTGGTGTATGGGATGGCTGAGTTGGCTCAACCTGCAGTGTTTCCATTCGCACCTGTCTCTCACCCCCACTGTGTGTGCGCATGTTTTGCACTTGTGCAGGAGACCACGTTTATAGAGCAGCTGGTGGCAGATGAGTCACAGATGGAGGCGCTAGCAGACGACTGCTCCCGGGTGCTTGTGTGGCACGTGCATCTGGAAGCGCCCCGCATCTCCCCCTTTCCCCACTGGAGCGCCCCCCTCGTTCTCCCACCCATACTCTCTGCCCGGGTTCCTCCTGCTGTTGTTGCCGCTGGTGGGAATGTTGCTGGTGGTTCTGGAGATGGTGGCACAGCTGGTTTGTCCGAGTAATGGGGAATTGCTGCTGCTGGTGCTGCAACGTTTCATGGAAGACTAGAATCACCCAACCAAAGGTGTGTCGTTTAGTATCATAGGCAGCCATTAGTTTTCTGGACAAATAGAAATGGTCGCCTAATTTTCTTAGATGAACTAGTGGCTTTTGAAGATGCCAAATTCCGCACATAGGAGATGCTATCTTGAAATGCGTTCTAGCATTATTCCTTTTGATAGAATAATATTTTATGATTTTTTATTACTCTTTTTTCTTATTGATAAATCTACAGAGTCTAGTGAACAATTAAAAAGCTCATGACGAACACTGTTATGAGTTGTAAAAGAGAGTGCGCAGGTAAACGAATAACGAGACTGTGACTGAATGAATCCAGAATACAATGAATGCACAGACTAATGTAGGGCTAGCCTAGCTAGGAGGAAACCTCGGGTGAGCGAGGTTGGGTGCAGGTTTGGCGATGGGAATGCCGAAGGCGACGCGAGGAGCTTCGGCAGCGTGGAAATCGCCCGAACGTGCGAACTCCGAAAATCGGGTTGTACGCGCAGTAGTCAACCCCGATAAGGAATTCGAGAAAATTCCTTACACCACCCCCCCCTTAAGAAAGGCGGTCAATATCCGAAACACGCTTGCGCGCCAAATAATCACCAACAAGTGGCGAGGCGTCGAGCGAGGCGGATGGCACCCACGTGTCGTCCTCACTGGTGCGATCAGTATTATAATTTTTAAACACACATGTAGTGTTTTTTAAAATTGTGTATTGTGAAAGCGAAGCTGCTTGTACTGCACAATTGGCATCGTCGAAGCGCGCTAAACGCCCTTCTCTGTCAGAGGTCCACTGGGGATCCCCGATGATCCTAGGGAAGGGTTACAGGCATGTCGGCCTGGGGGGTTATGGGCGCACTCACCCGCTATACAAACAAGCCCTTTTATCCCAGTGGTTAGTGGCTGGGATTCTGACATGGTATCAGAGCAAAGGTCTCGGGTTCGATTCCCGGTGTGTGCACCTCGGGCATCCCAGTGCGGGGGGGTGTCAGAGGTCCACTGGGGATCCCCGATGATCCTAGGGAAGGGTTACAAGCACGTCGGCCTGGGGGGTTATGGGCGCACTCACCCGCTATACAAACAAGCCCTTTTATCCCAGTGGTTAGTGGCTGGGATTCTGACATTCTCCAACTACTAAAACCGTGGGTTGGAGCTCATTTCCCTCCACCCACGTTTCTCAATTTTCAAACGGCTCACTCAACATTTCCGCTCGAGTAGTTTTTCCCTCCAAGCTGGCTAAGATTAAATCGCTTCCTAGAGGCGAGTCACCCTCTACTTTACTCAGCGACATTTTCAACTTCAATCGCTCAACGATGGCACCTACGCCGACACTTAACAACGGGAACTCGTCAACCCCCGCTTCCGACTCCGACCGTAACGCCCGCGATTCTGCGGGCGAACGCCGTAACAAGCGTCGGGCAGAAGACGGACCGTCCGCCCCGACTGCAGTGGACGTGCTGCTGGGCGGGCTCGAGGTCAACAAAAACGCCGAAACCCAGCAGCACCCTTCGGTCCCTGTGGCGCCAGTGGCGCCTGTGGCGCCAGTGGCACCTGTGGCGCAAGTGGCGACGGGGGCTGGCGCGGCACACGCGACTGACGCCGAGCACACGCCAGCACCCGCTGCTGGACCGTCGCGTCAGCGCCAGAGGAGGCGGACTGCAGTCTCCTCGTCTGACGCGACCGCCGCCCCTGCGCTGACGCAGGCGTTGACCCCGGACCAGGTCAACGCGCTGCTGTCCCTTCTACAGCAGCAACCCGTCAGCGTTACAGCCGCGGAAACTGCACTACCCGCCGCATCTGCGTCGGCTAAAAAAGAAACCGCAAAAAAGGAAAAAGGCACGCGAGGAGCACGGACGAACCGGCATGATAACGACGCAGCGACCGCCGCTCCCCCTGCTCCAGCGGTCGACAACGACACCGACGACTCTGAAGATGAAGCCGGTGAGGCTCCCGTCAACAATGCTAATTTTATTGGCACGGAACACCTCCCCCCCCTCCCTTCTTCTAACCTTACCTTCTCGGCGGCAACCTTCGTCAACGACTCCGTGCGAGAGCAAGCGGAGCTGCTGGAGGACCTGCGGGCGTACCTGCTGCACGCCGAATACAAGGCGCAGCGCGGCGATCCGGCGGGCGGACTCGAACTCATCTCACACGCTCTCAACCTCATCGCGGGGCGTTTCGAGGTGCTTCAAGTGGAGGACGCCTCCGACTTCCGCACGGCGAAGCGCTTCAAGCTGTACCAGCAGAAGAGCCTGCTGACTTCTCGACCCTTCAAGCAGGCAGTCGCGGACATGGCGGCGATGGACCGTGCGGCAAGCGGATACGCTCGTGTCAACCGCGGCGGAAACAACGGGCCGATGCCGTTCTTACCCAAGCGAGGCCCCCCGCCCACGGCCAATTGCCGTGGGTTCCGAGGCTCATGCTTCCGCTGCGGCCAGCCGGGCCACGTGGCAAGTGCCTGCCCTCGGAACGGGCATGGCGGCCAGGGACCCGCTCCGGTGGTGTAGGAGCGGGCCATGGGACTAGGCGCTTGGGCGCTAGGCACGGTGCACTCTTGAGTGCGAAGACCGTGGGCAACCCTAGGGGTTTGCGATGGCAAGAGGCCAGCCCTAGTAAAGGGTGGGATAGGCTTTGGGCCTAGGAGAGGGAAGGGGAACAACAACCCCTCGGTCCCATATGTTTGGCCACTTGGTGGCATGATGCATGCTAGGAAAGCATTGCTATGTGTGTTGGTTGATTTAATAAAAACTACCTTCCTAAAGGCCTATGGTTTTGGCAAAGAGACTATGAAAATCAAGAGGAGGAAGAGAGAGAGAGAGAGAGAGAGAGCGAGAGAGAGAGAGAGAGAGAGAGAGAGAGAGAGAGAGAGAGAGAGAGAGAGAGAGAGAGAGAGAGAGAGAGAGAGAGCACAATGGACAACGGTGTCCATGGCCCTAGGCATTAGCCCCCACGCACTAAGGGCAGGCACAACCGTCCTACCAAGTGGATGACGGGACAAAAAAAAAAAAAAAAAGAGGAAACGAGGAGAAGAAGAGACATGCGTTGACATGCGTTAACACTCCCGACACATTCGTTGACATTTCATTCAATGGTTAATTCTCGTCACACCTTCGATCAATGGTTGCCCGTACATGTACATGCACACGCATGCTTTAACATGGAATACTCAACCCTTATACCACTTGGCCTCACATGTACAGGAGCACGACGGTGCGAGGCGGCATGCTACGACGATCCGTACGAATTTGCCGTTACAGACAGAACTATTACACACATGCGCGGTCGTCTCCGCGCGACATTTGCGTGGTGGAGCTCATGGTGCCCCAGCAGCCTTGTCCTCTCCGTCATCGCCAAGGGTTACTGGTTGCCATGGAGCCACGGCCCACCGCAACATTTCCACGATCGCAATCATGTCGGGGCAAACACGCATGCCACGTTCACACGTACCGCCATCCAAGAACTCATAGAGACGGGAGCGGCAATTCCGATGGCCGCAACGGAGCTTACGTGCATAAGTCCACTCAACGTGGTCGAGCAAAAAGACAAATGCAGGCTCATTCTTGATCTGAGGAAAGTCAATGCCAACTTGATCATCCCCAAGTTCAAGTACGAGGGGCTCAGCCGCGTCGCCGACCTGGCGCGCGTTGGGGACTGGATGTTCTCCATTGACCTCAAATCTGGTTACCACCACATCGACATCCACCCATCGTGCTGGAAGTTCCTTGGCTTTGAATTTGACAAGCGCACATACGCATTCCGTTCACTACCATTCGGCCTCGCGACAGCTCCATTCGTTTTCACGCAGCTCATTAAGCAACTAGCTCGGCGTTGGCGAGAACAAGGCATCCGAGTCGTCCCTTACGTGGACGACATCTTATTTCTCTGCCAGTCGAAAGACGACGCGCAAGCAACTTGCCAGCGGGTGATATTGGATCTTAAAGAGGCAGGCCTTGTGATAAACGCGAAGAAATCACAACTGTCACCATCGCAGCGTCTCAGATTCCTGGGCGTAGAACTTGAGACCGATACCGGCCGATTCTCCATCGGTCCAGACCGACGAGCCTCACTACATGCAACCATCCGGAACCTCCTGAGCGCAAGCAAGGCATGCCGACCAGTCCCGGTCCGCCACGTGGCCAGAATCACTGGCATGCTCGCATCGATGGGTGTCGCACTTGGCGCGACCGCTCGCGCATTCAGCCATGCTATGTTACAAGTGATCAACGACGCACCGTCATGGAAAAGCAGCGTCGTTATCCCCCCATCTGCAGCAGAAGAGCTCCAATTTTGGCTCGAGGAGTTCGACCGTTTCAACGGCGCACCTTTTCACGTCAAGAACAGCTACGACGCGGTAATCCATGTGGATGCCAGCTCTCATGGTTGGGGCGCCACTCTGACCACATTTCCGGGTGGCCTCGAAGAAGCTAGCGCGACCATGTCAGAGCCGCTACGAGGAACGTCTAGCACACGACGGGAGATCGAAGGCGTCCTTTGGGCGCTACAAACGTACGCGAACAAGATCAAGCAAAAACACGTTCTCGTGCGGGTGGACAACCAGGGCGTATTCTTCATCCTTCGCAAAGGCGGCTCTCACAGCCCCGACCTCACAACGGCATGCAAGAGCATCATCCGAACATGCATGGCGCTTGGCACGCGCTTGATCATTGAATGGATTCCGCGCGAGCTCAACACACACGCCGACGAGCTTTCAAAAATGGTCGACCACGACGATTACGCGCTGAAAACGCCGTGGTTCCGGATCTTGGAACGTCGTTGGGGTCCTCACTCCATCGACCTCTTCGCAAACTTCCGCAACACCCAACTGCCGCGATTCTGTTCGAAGATTCCCCACCCGGCAGCCATTGCAGTTGATGCATTCTCGATCGCGTGGACACCTGAAAACAACTTCGCCTTCCCCCCACCTCAACTGATCCCAGCCGTCCTCCATCACGCACAA